CAAATTAAAATTAGTGTGTCAGATTGGTCGAGACGCTACACTTATAATGTATGTCTATGGAGCAAGCTCTGGTTTAAACCAGAAATGTGAAGTTCATATTTTTGTTCAAAATTCAGTTCATTTATACAAAAATGTGAACATTTCTGTATGAATAAACTGTATGTGTTACCAGTGTTTTCTGTGTGTGGAATTTGCTCCATGTAAAGTTAACAGTAAGGCCAGCGCAAACCATCTTTTGGCGTTAAAATAGTGCTGTCAGGATTTAAGACGCGCAGTGAGGAATTAGCGCTGAAAAGGCGTGGACACAGTTATTTTTGCACCTGACCTTATTGAATATGCATTTCTAGGAGTTTCCCTTTCAGATGCAAAACTTATGGGAGGAGAGTATTCAAATTAATCGAGATTTACTAACATTTGCGCTCGTCTAATTACTGGTATTTGCGCCATTATTTAACGCCCAAATAAAGCATGTCTTAAACTATTTTGTGCTTGAAATGGCTGCAATTATTGTTGCTAGGAGGAGGCACTGCAGAGAACAGAGAGCGCGGTAGAAAGGAGGATATTCTTTATTAAAGTTAAGAGTCAACCATGCCTAAAGTTCTAAGTTCTAACACGCCCCCATATGTCTACTTCACGATGTGGGAAGATTTGCATAACGCCACCCAAATGTTCACGCAAAGAAAGAAGGCGTAACTTTTATTCTCGCTGTAGTATTGTTGCTGCCACCATGTCATGAAGACGCTGTGTGTTTCATTGTGAAAGCGAAACTACTTTGTTTGGCCTTCCAAAAGAGGACAATATCCGCTTCGTCATGCCTAGAGCTGATCCGTGCTGGTCGCTGAGGAAATACATCAACTTCGCGCTGTGGATCGCCGGATCGGCTTTCACCGTGGATGAAGCGGAGTCCAGCCTGGGGTCGTCACATGTGGTTGCCACAAGCCCGCCGGCCGTTCCTCACTTTAGCCCGCCGGCAGCCGCTCACTCTAGCCCACCCGCCTCCGCTCACTCAAGCCCGCCGGCCGTTCCTCACTCTAGCCCGCGTTTCAGAAAGGCGGGGCATAGAGGAGAAACAATAATGTACAGTATGTGGAAAATAATGTGTTTTTTGAACCGTAAACTGCATAAACACATTTCATTACACCAAATACACAAAATAATGTTATTTTTAGCAACATCATATGACCCCTTTAATTTATTTGGAAAGAACACATTATCCGAACATATCATTTGCCAAGCCATGTTATTTTTAATTTGCTTCAGGAAATAAAAGACAACTTGGAACCCTCAGTGGTAACTACAAATTAACCAAGGTTTTGCTACACTAACCATATTTTAACCATGGTATTTGAAACTGTGGTTATACAAATGATAATCAATATGGCAAAAAACATAGTTACTACATTTATTACTATAATAAAACCATGGTTGATTTTTAGGGTTGTTATGTCCCTCTCAATGTATTCTTGTGGATTTTGTGCAAAAGCTAGGGTTTACTGGTTTGTAACAGTTGAAAGAGTTCATACAACTTTGCACAGACAGGTTAAGTAGAAAGGATAGTGAATGCATTTACTATGGTTCAATGTCTTGCTACCTATTATTGTAAATGCTAAGATTGAATTACCAGCATTTGAGCCAATGTGAAATATGGCTGAAAGCCAGTCCAGCAGTGTCTTCTCACCCTCTCTCTCTGTACGATTTGCTTTTATGCCACAGCTTTGGGATTCAGCATGATGGGAACGGCAATGACTGTGAGCCTATTGGGAAAAGACCTTTCATCATGTCTCCACAGCTCCTGTATGGAACCTCTCCACCCAACTGGTCACGCTGCAGCCGTGAATACATCACCCGTTTCCTCGAGTGAGTAAAAAACAATGCTTTTTTTTCACTTGTCACTATTGGTTTTCTTTTTGCCTTTTTTATTCGAAGTACAGAGATAACAGGAAATGGTGTAGAGCTGCAGTGTCCAGTCCTTCTCCTTGAGGGCCAACATCCTGCAGAGTTTAGTTGCAATTAGCTAAATCAGGGGTTTTCAAACTTTTAGGACACGTGCCCCCCAAGTTTGTGTAATTTTCACTCAAGCGATACTTGCTTTTGATGTAAATATATAGAAAATGCTGCTTCACAGAGCCACCTTGAGCTCTATTGGTCGCCTGATTAGCTGCGGGACTAATCAGATTGCCCCCTAGTGGATAGTGGATACATGTGTGTGTGTGTGTGTATATACAGTATTTCTCAGAAGTGAGTACACCCCTCACATTTTTGTAAATATTTTATTATATCTTTTCATGTGACAACACTGAAGAAATTACACTTTGCTACAATGTAAAGTAGTGAGTGTACAGCTTGTATAACAGTGTAAATATGCTGTCCCCTCAAAATAATTAAACACACAGCCATTAATTTCTAAACCGCTGGCCACAAAAGTGAGTGCACTCCTAAGTGAAAATGTACAAATTGGACATTGCTTTGTTTTTTATAATATTCATATATCATGAAAGCCATTTTCATACTTACGATTTTTATGCTTAAGGGAAGTTAATGGAGTTCATTGGAAAGCTTCTTGGCAACAACTGCCACTGGGTGCTTTATCAGTATTTTACTCTCTCAACAAGCTGGCTCTGTCCTTCTTGACCTTTGCATGTGTGTGTTGCCAAAGGCAATGTGAATGGCTGAGATTTCCCAAGAAGGAACAAGGCTGTGTTGATTCTTCTGTCATAGTTACACTAGTTTTGCTGCCTGCCATATGGAGCACATTAGACAAGGCTTGCCTGCTGCAGCTTGGCCTGAAATGGGGGGAAATGTTTAACACAACTGGCAGTGCCCAAACACAGGATGGGGCTGTGTTACGATATCTAGGCCAAGCGGATCCATCAGGAACTGAGTAATTAGTTTATCTTAATCCCTTTGAGGTTTCGATTGTTTAGGCCTACCCATACACCATTATTCTATCTGTGTTTTAACTCTTGGGCAGATGAGAGCCATTTCTTTGTATATGTCTCTGATATAACTGTTTGAATAGCTGGAGTGGCAACAAGATGTAAAAGGACTGAATGTTACCAGCTACATATGCCAGTTTATTGCATTTTGACAGTTGCAATACACTAAAGAAAACAAATCAATAATAATATTTGTAAAAGACACAGTTTGCAGATACAGTAATGTCAACTGCAAATAGTCATGCATGACAAACTTTATCTTTAATTTATTAAAATATCCAGATGTTCTTAATTGATGCTTATATGTTAGGTCTTCTGTTTAAAAATGCATGCAGAAAATGGTTAAAATTGCACTTCTCTTCGCCTCCAAAATCAGTTGTGAATGCCTTTTAAATTCCTATTCGGTTTATGAATTTGAATCAAGGCAGCAAACAGGTAGCATAAATGTGACCAAAATTCAAAGTAGAATTCAAATGAATGAATATAACTCTAATTTTTAACTAGAAAATAAATAGTTGTCAAATTAGAACTAATAAAATTACAATTAAAGCTAATTAAAATTAAAAATCTTTTTATTTATTTATTTATTTATTTTTTAGAAAATGTGTAGGCCTTATACATTTTATATATATACTTTGCATTCACTTATACATTCAGAATATTTTAAACACTTTGTTTCCCAGAATGCCATTACCTTTGATAAATTCAGTAAATTTCCCTTGTCATTCCAATTCAAATCCTGCATCTGTTAGTCCCTTTCAGTTAATGTCTTTAGATTTTGGAAGGGCCTGTAAATGTTATTGAAACGCACGATAGACACTGCTGCTCAGCCTGGTTGTTTTTTAAATATGAACTGTGTTACAGAGAATTTGAGGGAAGGACCATACGGTTTGGGAGGCTTAAAGGCAGATGGCATGTTTCCAGAAAGGACAGTTTAGTCTTACTCAAGCGGACCAAAACAATTGTGGGCTTTTAAAGAAATATTTGCAGCAGCATGTATCCAATTTCCCTCAGTGTCAGTTATAGCTGCTGAGTGTTTTTCAGTTGGATTATTTGAGCCACATCACAAAAACTGAATTAAAGGCTGACATGCTGTCTGCTTTGACTTGGAGATTGTTACTTAGAATTTTAAGTCCATATTGCACCGCAATTGCATGGTTATATTTTGGCTAAAACATTTCCTGTATAGTTGAGTTGTTTTTTTTTGTACTTCATAGAATGGCCTCTGGCAAAAATAAAACTAAAGACATATTTAGTATCGCTAACTTTCCCTAAATGGCCAGATTTTTATGAGCATTTTTAGCAATCTGCACTACAGGTTTTGAGGGCTTATGTAATATTTTCAGTTTGGTCAAATGACACTCTGTTTCTTAGATGAAGGTTTTTCACTATTAAATTTGCGTCCTATGAATATTAATGTGGAAAATGTTTTACTTTTCCAGGAGTGCCAGCTGTTGAACAGGCCTGTAATAAAATTAAGCAATATCAAAATATCACTGTCTGGCCAAATGAAATTTCGATTTGGAGATTTTTTTTTTTTTGAGTTTTCAAAGTATTGTAGATGAGCATGTTTTGTAGTCTGCTTTTGGGATCTGATAAAGCTCTTGGACCCGGAAACAGTGATGCATAATGTCATATTGTTATTGCAGCTCAGTTAGTTCAAGCAGTGATTCTACCTGAAGAGAATCAAGTTTAGTCTTTAAACCTAAATAGTAGCATCATTGGACAAACTTTGGCTGTGTGTACCAAACTAATTTGATACAAAAAAGAACTTAGAACTGCAAATAATGTTAAAAACTCCATCTTTCCACCCACACTGTAAAATTACTTTTATTTATTTACGCACTATTTTATAAGTAGGCACCATGAAATCAGAACAACAAAGAAACAGTGTCATCAAAGGAAAACTGCTGAGTGCTCTTCAGGAAGTTCCTGTTGGGTATCTCTTCTAAAACGCAGGCTCTTTTATTATTGGGGAAGTCCTAACAATAATGTGTTTTTGAGGTGGCTTAAATTTGTCTTTAGCATACATATTATGCACCCTGCCTAGCCAAAAGAAAAAAAAGTCCACATTTATATTTTAATAATCAAATACTGAAGAATCTAGGATTGCATCATTGTTGCAGTGATTAATTCTGGCATGTTTTATGTTTTGCAACCATTCTTTTAACTAACGCAGTGCAGAGCTTTTTATTTCTTAAGCATGTCATAGAATGTGCCCATGTAGATATTCCAGGATGACAGTGCCAAGATTCACCAGGCTCAGTTTGTGAAATAGTGGTTCAGTGAGCATGAGGAATCATTTTCATGTATGAATTGGCCACCACAGTGTCCTGACCTTAACGCTATTGAAAGTCTTTAGGATGTGCTGGACTCGACTTTACAGAGTGGTTCAATGCTCCCATTGTAAATACACGATCTCAGCCAAAAATGAATGCAACTCTTGATGGAAATAAATGTTGTAATGCCACAACGAAAGCATAATGTTATCAAAGCTAAAGGCAGTCCAACTAAATATCAGAGTTCTGCAGATGATATACTGACAATGAACAAATTATAGAACACAGATACACCCATCTCATTTCTATAATGACCAACAAAATCTACCAAGAGCAGCAAAATTATCAGCTATCGTCAGGGGCGCCTTAAGATAACCAAAGAACCCCCTGGGCTACAGCATTACAGTAGGCCCCCCGACCCCAGAAAACCTCCTTTTTTTAAGCTTCCTAAAAATTATTTGTCAAATTTCGTTTTTTGTCTTGTTAATATGCCAGTTAACATTCACAACACTGTTCTGCGTAAAATGTGAATATAAGCGAATATGCAAATTTACTCTTTGCCACAAGGTGGCGCTTGTGGAACAGCAGAATTATATAGCCATTACATAAAGTAAACAGTTCAGTTCCTTTCACACAGCAGTGTTGTGTTTCTGTTAATCTGCATGTTGACATAAAGATACTCTGTGCTGCGGTTATTTACTAGCAGCGAATGCATTGTACATTCTGCTTATATCGATGGAACACGTGGAACATACCAACTATAGTATCTCTTTGCCACAAGGTGGCGCTTGTGGAACAGCAGAATTATATAGCCATTACATAAAGTAAACAGTTCAGTTCCTTTCACACAGCAGTGTTGTGTTTCTGTTAATCTGCATGTTGACATAAAGATACTCTGTGCTGCGGTTATTTACTAGCAGCGAATGCATTGTACATTCTGCTTATATCGATGGAACACGTGGAACATACCAACTATAGTATAAAAACTGTGTGGGGGGAACCTAAACTGAGCCATTCACTATATAGGCTACTACAGCCAGGGCATCGCTAAAAATGTTCTGTTTGTTTACGGAACGCTGTTGTCACTGCTGCAAACTCCCATATAAATCATTTTTATTATAAATCAGCTATCGTCAGGGGCGCCTTAAGATAACCAAAGAACCCCCTGGGCTACAGCATTACAGTAGGCCCCCCGACCCCAGAAAACCTCCTTTTTTTAAGCTTCCTAAAAATTATTTGTCAAATTTCGTTTTTTGTCTTGTTAATATGCCAGTTAACATTCACAACACTGTTCTGCGTAAAATGTGAATATAAGCGAATATGCAAATTTACTCTTTGCCACAAGGTGGCGCTTGTGGAACAGCAGAATTATATAGCCGTTACATAAAGTAAACAGTTCAGTTCCTTTCACACAGCAGTGTTGTGTTTCTGTTAATCTGCATGTTGACATAAAGATACTCTGCGGTTATTTACTAGCAGCGAATGCATTGTACATTCTGCTTATATCGATGGAACACGTGGAACATACCAACTATAGTATAAAAACTGTGTGGGGGGAACCTAAACTGAGCCATTCACTATATAGGCTACTACAGCCAGGGCATCGCTAAATATTTTCTGTTTGTTTACGGAACGCTGTTGTCACTGCTGCAAACTCCCATATAAATAATTTTTATTATAATTTATTATAATTATTCAATTATTTATATTCCTTTATATTATTATTTATATTATTAATTATTCATTCCGTGCATTAATGCGCCCCTGGCTATCGTCACCATGTCAGGTGCAAAATGCTTTTCTGGGCACAAATACTTGTACATTGATTACCTCAAACCTTAGAAAGTCACATTGATTCATTTAAACACACTCCTCCCATAAATGTTGCATCTAAAAGGGGAACTCCTTCAAAGCATATGCAATAAGCCACAAAAATAACAGCGTCCATGCCCTTTCATCATTCATTTTTCATTATGTGTCTTTAGTAAATCCTGAAAGTGTTTTTTTTATGCCAAAGGAGGGTTTGTGCTGGCGCAAGCCAAGCAGTAAATTTGGCCCTTGATCTATTAAAGAATATTGAAATACAACAAGATCTTAGAGGCTATTCAGTTTATATAATGTAATATTTCAGCCTATAAAAGTACTAATCTGAGAATGAATTGCACTTAAACCAGAAACCTTTGCCTAAGTATTTTCTGCATGTGATGTGTTTTTGTCATGTTCCTCACAGTCGAGGCTGGGGCTGGTGTTTGGATGACCCTCCTGTCAGAAATGATCTTGAGATGCACTCTGCTCCCCCTGGCGTCCTGTACAGCGCTGCTCATCAGTGCAAGCTCCAGTATGGATCCAGCTCACTGCTCTGTGACGATGTAGATGTAAGATTTTCCCTCGAACCCACAAATAACTCTGATTCCCCCAGCAGACAGCTCTCCGATGCCAAACTGCTAAGAAAAATGGGTCAGAAGTGTACACAAGTGCAGACAGAGGGCTTAAATTATCTGTTTATGAAATACAGATGGAGCAAGACATTCTGAACCACACATCTGCTAGGAAATGTAAATAAATTGTAGGCTATAATGTAACCTAATAAAAATATATAAGTGCTTCTGACAGTGAAGCCAAAGTTCAGATAATGTCGTTTCTGTGCATGAATTTCTTTTGTAACGCACACACAAAAGAAAGAAAGAAAAATGGTCGCTTTTTTCATTCAGTTACAAAGAACGGGAACTGGAGCATTTCAAGCTTCAAAGGAACACAAAGGCATCTTATCCTAAAAGTACACTGTAAAAAAATATACTTTGGACCCATTTAAAATTTTTTTATTTAGGTTCAAACCTTAAATTTTTTATCAAAGTCAAAAACATTCAAACAAAGTAAAAAGATAATTCATTATAAATGTTATACACTGAAAAAAAGTGTGTTGGATTTGCATCATTTAATCATTCAACATCATTTAATGAAGTTATTTTGAAGTGAACAAATTAAGTAGTGTAAAAGTGATTTTACATGGTTTCATGACAGGATTTATTAAACTTATATTAAAAAACATAGGCCTATGTATTGTCACATCACTGTTTATAAGATAGCTAGCAAACTTTTAGCGAGCAGTGGCACATCCCTTATGAAAATTAACCATTTTACTACACATAAAACCAAATAACCATGGTCATTATAGTTAAACCATTGTAACCACAATTTAACCATGGTTTTCCTATACTAACCATAGTTTAACCATGGTACTTGTAGTAAAAGTGTGGTCATGCAAATGGTAATGAATACACCAAAAAAACATTACTACACTTTTACTATAATAAAATGTATGTTTTATGTGTATGTTTCAGTGTACTTAATATATTTGATTGGGAATACCAGCACCCAAAACACAATAGCCAGCCATGCTGGTCTTTTCAACAAAGAGATCTGTTCTGAATTTGATCTCATTAGGAAACTATTTCTTTAAGCAACTCATGTAATACCAGGCCCATGGGCTGCTTTAAATTTCTCACTATTAAATTGTGAACAGTTCAACAAAAACCTCTATTACTTTGAGTGTCTGGTAAGGCATAGACCACACACACACTTTTCCATCACAGAGGAAGTGTCAGTTTCTACTTACATCAGGACCATCTGATTCCCAGCTGTTTTAGTAGGAAAAAGCACATCATTAGTTTAGCAGGTCTTATGTTCCAACTAGAAGAACTACTTTGTAATTTATATTCATTTATTTATTTCTGTGGCAAAAATGGGCTTCCATAGATAAGGAATTAAGACTTACTTAAGAATTAAGAGGAATTCTACAACATTTATAATAACATGTTATGTAGCTTTGAACTATTCTGAATTATTCTTAAAATATTGTACCCTTCAGAATATCTGCAGCACCCTGTGGTGCACAGTGGGCTCAACCTGCCACTCGAGGCTGGATGGTGTTGTGGATGGGACCAAGTGCGGTGAGGGCAAGGCAAGCCAGGCTTTCTGTGGGCTTTTCATTTCCCTGCATGAAGTTCACCATGTACGTAGTTCTCCTTTTGAATTCCTCTGACTAACTCAAAGTCTTGGTTATGGTTTTTTTTTGGTCAGTGGTGTTTTGACGGGGAGTGTGTGGAGATGGGCTTCCAACCTAAAAGCGTGAATGGTGGCTGGGATTCATGGAGCGAGTGGTCCAGGTGCACCAGGACATGCGGTGTAGGCGTTCAGAATGCCCAGAGGGAGTGTGTCAACCCTGTGTGAGTTTCCTACACACACACACACACACACAATTTGTGCTCACTCACGTTACTGGGATAAACCACGAGAAAGTTATTTTTATCATAGATTGTATGGGAAAAGACTAGCATGCTTATGGTTGATAAGTAAATGAATGCATTTATTTCTCACCAGCATGTCAGAATAAAAAAATCCTTTTGGGATCCCTGTCTGGACACAATCATCAATGGTTAATGCATGGCATTGGGCTCTCTTGACTAGCAAACATCCAGAAACATCTAGAAACTGCATAGAAGAAGGAAGGGAAAAAATGAATGAATGAATGAATTATGCCATCGTTTACTTAGATCATTTACTAACGGTCACGCAGCTCTTTTTTATTTTTGAATTTCTTCTGTGGAACAGATATTTTGAAGAATGTTTTTTCCATACAATTAGGCCAATGGGGTTCACAAATTCACCAAACTCCAAGGTAGTGTAAAAGTAATCCTTACAGCTACAGCAGCTTAATCTGGTTTACTCTGAAAAATTACAAACCATGAGAATAGCTTTTTTTTAAACCACAGATTGTATAGGAAAAGGCTAGCATTTGATGAGGAAGTGATTGCATTTATTTCTCACCACCACGTCAGCATAATGTGTTTGGGGTTTCATACATGTAATTATAATTAATTTTATATTTTCAATCATCTTCAATGGCATTCTAGGGTCTCTGCGGTTCCAACAAATTGTTAAATGGTGAGAAATTCAGATCCCATATGGTGTCAGAGAGCCTCACTAGACCAATAATCAGTCACTGTCTCTGGTCCAAACGTTCAGAGTTTATGAAGTATAACCATTTCATTATATTTGGCTTAGACTAGATTCTCTATCCTGGCAGATGTTTTGCACCCCAAGCAAGTTTTCAAGGATGGAAATTGTTATAGAACCAGGTTGTGGCCAGCTTGTGAATGCATCTCTAGGATGTTGTAATTGATGGAAATCATGTGCAACATCTGCATCATATTTCAGAAGAACTTTTAAGGATATGGGAAAAAGATCTACTACTATTTGTCACCACTTCCTCTGTGTACTTATTACAGTAAATATCTCTTTTCTAGTAAAAATAAATAAATAAATAATAACAGTTAAAGATGAAGTATGCTTCTGTGCATCTTTCAAACAACCTTTGCAAAGTCCCCGTACATCATCATGCCCTTACCTTATTCTTACAATTTTATCTGGGGCTTTATAGTAAAGAGCTAGCATCTGTGGAAAAAACATTTAGATTTTATCTTACCTATTGAGACGGAATTCTGCAAGTTTGGTGTCTCAATTGAAACCCAAACATTCCATCATATTTCTACATCTTGTAAAAGCACCAAGTTGTTTACTCTTGCTTTACCCTTGCCTGTTTCTGCATATTATGGCAAGTCTTCAAATTTTGGTTGGCACTTCTGTAACCTGAATCTGAATTATTTTCCAATGTAAGGCATCAGCCATGATCCCAACACCTTCTGGCTCAGCCTGCTACAGTATCCTATCCCAGTTTAATGTACAGGTACAAATATGAGTAAGCCACTTGTAGAATGCTGGACACTGTCATAGACGGAACACAGTGCTATGAAGGCAGTCAGAGCCGTGACATATGCATTAACGGCATTTGTAAGGTTGGTAATGGCTTTGACCTCTTTGCTCAGTCTCAGACGGTCCATGTAAATTTCTGCTTGTCATTTTCATTGTAAACCATTGACAGTCTGTCAGCTTGAGTGTCAGTCTATTGTGAAATAATACCACAAGAGTCTCACAAAAACAGTGGGGTGTGAAATCATGAGAACATGTCGGCAAACAATCTTCCACTCTCTTCTTCTCAAACTTAATTCAAATAAATATTTGAATGAGTCCTTGTATGACCCCAGGCGGAGTTACACACGGTATTGTTAAATACAGAGGAGGAAGCTATTGTTTTCAATGTGGTTTTGTTCTTTTATACAATAAAGGAGTTAAATATTTAGTTGACATGCAAACATTTTTAGTTTCACTGAACCATCCTATAGCCCTGTGAAACTGCTGTAGACAGCAAAACTGTGGACATTTCTTGAGGAGAATTGTTACTTTTCTAAGCACTTAAAATTACTTAAAATTAACTCTTAGCACATGTTTGAGTGAAGTGTGTCAGTGAATGAAATGTTGCAGTTTTGTGAATTCTCTGAAACTGTCAACGCATAGCCTAGATTTATGCTTTCAGTTCAAATGCAAATCTTCTACAGTAATACATTGTCAATCTAAAATTGTGATTTGTTGTTATAGCAATAGTATAATGACCATATATAGTTATTTATCAGTCTCTTTATTAGAATGCAACCAGAAAATACAGGAAGTTTGTATGCAAAAAAAAAAAAAAACTTATAGACTAAAGTACCAAGTGTTTAGTGTGACCTCCCTAATTAATGTCATTGCTAACACCTGCTATCTCATGTCAAAAAGGTGTTTTACACCAGGTTTGTTAAAGACATGCTTGAGCATTACACGTTGTACGAGTTGGCTATTTGCTAATAAGACCAACTCTCTGTAACATCATTCCATTCAAAATGCCAAAGATCCAAGAATTTTGACATAAAATTTTAATTTTGCATCAGCAAGACCACTCTCAAAGGGAAATCAGCAACAAACTGGATACCCAAGATGTGGTATTCAAGAAATTTAAAGAATCAGGAGAGCTCAAGGACAGAAAAAGAACTGGAAGGCCAATAAAACTTCAAAAATCTGATGAGAAGTTTCTCAGTTTCTTCTTTGAGAGGCCAGAAGAAGCCCAGCAAGGACCTGGCTCAGCATCTGGCAGCTTCATCGGGATGCCAAGTTGACCCTTCTACAGTTTGAATAAGCTTGATCAGGAGTGGTTTTTGTGGAAGGGTAGCATCCAATAAACCACTTTTTGGAAGGAGAATAGGGCGAAAAGGCTACGATATGCTAAAGCTCACAAAGATTGGAATGAAGATAAGTGGAAAAAAAAGTATTATGGAGTGACAAATCCCAGTGTGAAATTGTTGGATCCAATCATCAACAATATGTGAGAAGAAGAGTTGGAGAGAGATGGATGAATGAGTGCTTGCCACCTTCTGTAAAACATGATGGAGGGTCTATCATGGTTTGGGGCTGCATTTCTGCCAGTGGTTCGATATTGTCCAAATGGATGGGATCATGAATACTGAAAAGTACAGACAGGTTTTAATTTGTCATGCCATTCCTTCTGGAAAGTGCCTGATTGGGAGTGAATTTATTTTTCCGCATGATAATAATCCCAAGCACACTGCTACAGTGAAATTATATTTGGAGAGAAAAACAGCTGATAAAACACTGATAATCATGGACTGGCCTTTGTAGAGTGCAGACCTGAATATTATACTAAAGTATTATATATATATATATATATACACACACACACACATATATATATATATACACACACACACACACACATATATATATATATATATATATATATATATATATATATATATATATATATATATATATATATATATATATTATCACAAAAGGGAAAAAAAGTGAACAGAAGAGAAAGTAGAAGGAAAATTGAGTAATAACTATTGGTAAAAAATATTATCTTTAAAGGAAATGTTCATTTGCATAATTGTATTAAATGTGTTTTGAATTGAAAGACCTGAATAAAAAAAAAAAGACCTGGATATTATAGAGGCAGTATGGGATCACCTGGACAGAGAAAGAAATAGAAGACAGCCTAACTCTAAAGAAGAACTCTGGGAAGTGCTGAAAGAAGCCTGGTATAATATATCAAAGAATACTCCAGAAAACTTCAGGAGAGTCTCCCCAAAAGAGTTGAAGATGTACATAGTGATAAGGGAGGTCACACTAAATACTGACTTCTGCCTGTTTGTTATGGAAACTGTGGTTTAAAATTTAGTGTACATGTTTTCTTTATGTTCTGTTTGTAAAGAAAAGTAAATATATGGTCATTAAAACTTTGCTAAAACAACAAAGCTGGTGGTGGCCAAGACCTTTGCATAGTACTACACTTTATACAGTACACTGTAATACACTGATAACCACCAAATGCAGGTGGTGATGAGAAAGTCACATGATGATTCAAAGCCCATCACAAGCAGCTTTTAAATAATAACATATATAGAAGGTGCACAGTGTCATTCACACAAACGCTAAACACCATCATGGTAACACACATGAAACTGAAATGCAATAAACATTCATTTGACAACTGATAAGAAAAAACTAAGAAGAAACATAGTTATTTCAACAAAAAAACATAAAATTTGAAATGTAATGCAGGGAATTCTGGGAATGTCAATTTACGGTTATTCACTGCAAATTATACAGTCTTTTTCACTCCCAAAAACGGTATACTACCGTAAAATTAATGTCCAATACATGTAATGTCAAATACAGTTTTTCACCGTATATAGTAGGGGAATGTACCGTTAACCATTTAACAGGTTTTTACTGTAGCATTTTTACAATCTTTTACCGTTAAATTCATGGTCATTTTTTACAGTGTATATAAAATCAAAATTTGCTGAAAATGTCCATCCAAGATGTAGATGATTTTGTTCCTTCATTGGAACAGATTTGGAGCAATTTAACATTATATCACTTTCACAACAATGAATCCTCTGCAGTGAATGGGTGCTGTCAGAATGAGAGTTCCAACAGCTGAGAAAAATATCAGTATAATTCACATCACTCTAGTCTAATTGTGGAGTTAAATTTATGATCTGTCTCTTCATGTCAGTACTTAGGCTGTGATTATGAGATTGACTCAGATGCTGTTGAGGATCAGTGTGGAGTGTGCCATGGAAATGGATCTACGTGCAAAACAGTGAGGAAGACCTTTGAGGACAGTGAAGGGCTCGGTTTGTAAAATGAGTTTCAGTTTATATTTTACTCAAAGCAGCATTCATTTTGTAAATATAACATTGCATGTTTGTTTTGTTTCTACTTTATTTGTTTGAATAAGCTGAGGTAATTTTTGTCTCTCAGGCTATGTAGACATAGGTCTAATTCCGGAAGGAGCACGGGACATCCGTATCGAGGAAGTCGCAGAGTCTGGGAACTACTTGGCATTGCGCAGTAATGACCCTGAAAAATATTTCCTGAACGGTGACTGGACGATCCAGTGGAATGGCGAGTATAAAGCAGCAGGAACAGTATTTACTTACGAAAGGACCGGGCAGCTGGAAAACATATCTTCCCCCGGACCGACTATGGAGCCAGTGTGGATCCAGGTACTCAGTCCCATGCTGAAGTCTCACATGCTGCTTATGAGCAGAATCTAGCATGAGATGTTTGAGACCTGTCTCTTTTCACAGGCACCTGCTAAAGTGCTCTGCTAAACTAGGTCACAGTTTAGTGAATCTGTGCCTGAAATGTGGTTTAGAGTTTAAATAGAGACCTAAAATGGTATACATTATAATTTAACGTCTCACATTTGTTGCATGGAAAGATATACAAACAACTTATTTTATGAAAAAAGAGAACAGACTGTATTATCCATGGAAACATTTACCGCTTCAAACACTATAATGGAGAACAGGCCTATTCTTTATGAATAATTAAATCTGCTAATTTCTCTGAGCACAGAGCATTAACTACTTATGTAAAGACTTCTAAAAAGAAATATACTCATAAATGTATGGCATCCTCCTTCAACAGTAAATATTTAAATTGAGAAAACAGAGCAGCTTTATCTGACAGGGAAAGTGAAGTCAAAGGCTTAACCCAATGTATTTGCATAAACTTCTACTCAGCAGGAAGTAACTTTATGATCTTTTTCAGTAACAAACAATTAATGTATGATTTTATTCCATTCCTTGTTTAAAAAGCAAAATAGATTTGAAGATTTAGTGGATTTAATGATTGAATTCATTGCATAAAAGGCTTATTCCCAATTGTAATCATTAGCAGAGTTTTTTTATTACAGTAGCCATGATTTTCATGTTGTAGCACCATTAAAGTGAAGATACTGTTTATTAGGGATTTAGGCTTGTATGTGTAGCAGAGGGGCATTCTAGACCTCTGCGGACCTCCTCCCACTGAGCGATTCGAGGCCTTTGGCTCGCAGCCTTTGCGCTGGTGGAGAAAGAAGGATGTCTACAGCAGCGGGAGGCAGACAAATGAAATATTCTCTTATCACTCTCCAAATTCTTAAATCCCATGTGGAAAAGAGAACCTTACAACCTCACTTTTTGGGTTTTACTGTTCTGCTGTGCAAGAATAATTATATGTCAGTTCATCTGTTGGGGAAAAATCTTGTACTACTTTATACCACCAATCAAATTTCACATTTTCAAATATTTTACAATAGTTGCTGGTCTCAACACCAAAATATGTAACACTTTACACTATGGGCTGGCAACTGCCTCACAATAAAATACATTCATACAGTCAAAATTTAGTTAAGGTGCAATGTATCACAATGTTGTAATTGAAATGTGTGCTAAAAATATATAAAAATAAATTATATGCGATTATTGCATACTTTTCAGTGTACAATATTTAATGATAAACGTATTGATCATTGCTAATATTATGAAATTAAACAAGACAATTAACCACAGTCTTTCCTGGTACTTAATGTTTAGCACTTGACTTGCAGTTTTCTGACATTGTTTTTCACAACTTTCTAAATCTGGTTGCTTATTTGTAAAAATGGCTACTTCATTAATTTGACCTTTTTCATAAAAAAAACCTATACCAATACAATGTCATAGAATCCTGACAAATTGATGTCTGATTATATGGCCATTGCCCTAGATTCTACGTATGAGATTTATGGGTTTGTATGTTGTTTGTGTGTTGATGTGTCAAGGTTTCTCTTTAATCTGCCCTCAATGTTCTCCAGCTGCTTTTTCAAGAGACCAATCCAGGGGTGTGGTATGAGTACACCATAAGCAGAGGCATTCTTGTCGACTCCAACAATGGCAGTGCTGTCTCTTATTTCCAGTGGATTTATGGGGCTTGGACTGAATGCAGCGCCACATGTGGAACTGGTAAGGAGTCGCCTTATTGCACACTTCTGCTTTCAACCTACGCACATGCACAAGCTGAGCCAATCCGGACTGATTTGCCTATTTACTTTAGGTAACTGCTTTGTTATAGTTTCATATTATACTAGAAATGGTGAAAAGTGCAGGAAATAGCTGAGTTGATCTGTTTGTTCAATCTAGCTCTATAGCTAGTTTGAACAAACAGACTATAAATTAGCTCTCTGGCAGACATTGCTTTCATAAAAAAATGCAGGCAGACAGAGAACTTCACCAAATTACACAGGCCATGAACTTTATAGGAAACATACTTTAGACCAGCTGATGCTACATGAACTCAAATGTTATGTGATTGGAAGCAAGACTTTATTAATGGTGGAATATTTAACTGGACGGTCTAATAAGATATTAAAGTGCAGTCACATTTTCTGTTGCTCTGTTAAATTTTGTGTGAAATCCAGTCATTTTGCGTAAGGGCAAAAAAGTTTGCTTATGTTCAAGTTGGTCACACAAATATCCCTGCATGGCTGCATGGTTAGAAAGTGGCTTCTGTGTGAGCATTATTCTTCATGCATCACTACACAACTGACAATAGACTATAGACCAGGGATCCTCAAATCTGGCCCACGAGATCCACTTTCCTGCAGAGTTTAGCTCTAACCCTAATCAAACACACCTGAGCATGCTAATCAATGTCTTCGGGATCATTAGAAAACCACAGGTAGGTGACTTTGATCAGGGTTGGAGCTAAACTCTGCAGCGCATTGGCCCTGCAGGGCAAGATTTAAGGAACCCTGCTATAGACCATTTTTGCCAGTGAAATTTTACCATAACTTTGCTAATGTGACCACACCTTTAGACTGTGGACAGACTTGGTGCACAAGTCATTACTAATGTTTGTTGTTCATGCAGTGTTTCATGAATACTGTGTATGTAGCCATCTTAAAGGCCTCAATATACTTAAATTATTACTAAATTGAACAAATTGGTGTGATGTAATTTTGAACAAAAACAGGCCAAAATGAAGTTTGTTTGGAGTTAAGTCCTGATATATTTAAAGCGAAATCGAAGAACGAAGTGGTGTGACATAATTTTGAACAAAATCAGGCCAAAATGAAGTTTGTTTGGAGTTTGATTTGGAAGTTTGAAAAAGCCTACCAAAGAGAGCTTTTCAGAAAAGTTTGCTCAAACTGGCAAACACCTACAAACTACAGTTGGTCCGTGGCAATTACATAAAAGGTAGGTGTGCTCTGGGGCTCTGCCTTCTTTGACGTGGAAATCTCTGGTTCATTTCCTGAGTAAAAATTTTGACACTGGTGAGCTGCTTTATAGTAGAAATTAAAGTATCTCAGTGGTGTGGTTGGCATAGGGATGTTCACTAACAGTGTACTGCTGTGAAGGAAGTTCAAACTTCTTTTTACTCCTAAATGAAGAATAAAAAGGAACTTCACTGTGAGTATATCCATGGCTTAACACTCTGGAGTCTAAGGGGTTTTGGGACTCTGGAGAAATTTTGACATTCCCTGACATTTGTGCTTTTTTCAGTATCTTAAAAACATATTAATGGCTAAAGTTTGATTACACTGTAATCATCAAACTGTGCTACAATAATTTGTGAGCAGTTAATAGTGATTCACAGCTGAGACAAAGGGCCCTCCCCTAATGGGCCATCACTGTGACTGTGAGGCAGGTAAGAAAGAATGTGAGGAGAGTAAAATAATGGGGGTTTTGCTTATTTGTATTTTATTTACAACACAGTATAATCAAAATATACACAATGAAGTTCAAAGACAGATTATTGGGCACACTGATCTAAAGACAGAGACTTGAACAGTCACACACCTTTGTGCCATTGCTGAAACAGATCCTGTTCAAATGTTGAAACAAGTCAACCATAACTGATATTTAATCAAATAATTAATCAAGTGATAAAAAAAGACTTATTAATGTAAATGATCTCCTCCGCTGGATCAAACCATACATCACATTGTGTTCTTCTTCTGAGGTAAATTCTGGTTTATTTCTCTCAGCATGTCTTCTTCCAGAAACGAAAAGTAGCCGAGATGAACTTGAATGTTCACATTTGTTTACGGAGGTGATGTGGGTGTTTACATGTCTGCGTGTCTCACGTGGATGATTGTCATATGAAAAGCTTGCTCGGCTCGTGAGCATGATCATACTACAGATAATGAGCTCAGACGGGAAAGACTGGACCTTGCGTTAGTTTCATTTAATTCTTTATTCATTAATTCTTTATAAATATTCTTACAAATATTCTTTGTAATAGAATATTTGTCTTCGAACATGACTTACTTTATTTAAAAGAAGACACGTCAAGCTTCTATTGTCTATACATATATTTATCATGTCTGTGTGTCAAGTATTTGCTGAGGTTTGGTTTATTTTTTCAAAACGTTGTTCACAGAGACTGAGACGGCTGAAAGCACATCCTGTTTGTTTTCTTCATTTTACAAAAGCACAGCATTTTATTGTTATTATGAGTGTAGGTATACAAAAAAAGGAAGACCTTTTTTTGATCATTAAATCATTTGAATGATGTATGGCTCTTTTAATTTAGTAATTTAAGTTCCTTTCTATCTGGAAAAAATGCCACAAAACGTATCGGCGCATTTGTCAACCCCAGAGGGTTAAAGATTTTAAATAGTTTTTTTTTTTGTATGCTGCTTAGTATGGAAAAGACACATATTTGGGAGCATGGATTTTGTCAGAAGTTTAGATTTTATTTCTGTTATGTTGCTCTGGGTAGCACTGCCCACAGTGAAACATCATTGGTTCAAAATCCTGCTTCACAAAGGACTTTGATTAGCTCAGATTTTGCTGTTTCATTCAACTCGTTATAACATTATTACTATGGGTACTGAAACCCAGGGGTAGTTCACCCAAAAGTGAAAATTTACTGAGGTGTACAAAGATGTAGGTGACTTTTTTCTTCAGTAGAACAGTAAAGAAGATCTTTAGCTGAAACCATGGTGCTTGGAGATACACAAAATGCAAGTTAACAGCTGCACGTTTTTAAAAATAAAAAAGCATATCAAGGAACACAAAATTAATACATGTGGCTCATGATGATATATTCAGTTTTAACAATTGTTCTGTGCAAGAAACATATGTGTAATTACATGTAATCCATAGTGATATGCACTTGAAAGGTGGTGGCAAAATGAAAGTTTTTATGGTTTCTTTTTGTTTATGTAAAAAGAGGGTGAGCTTTATTTGCTTTAGGCATGTAAAACATCCTAATTTTATATAAATATTGGATGCTTTAGTAATATAATAATATATTTACATTTACATTTAGTCATTTAGCAGACGCTTTTATCCAAAGCGACTTAAAAATGAGGACAATGGAAGCAATCAGAATCAACAAAAGAGCAATGATATACAAGTGCTATAACAAGTCTCAGTTAGCTTAACGCAGTACACGTAGCAAGTGTTTTTTAAATAATATAATACATAAAAAGAAAACAGATAGAATAGAAAAATAATACAGCAAGCTAGTGTTAATGTATTTTTTTAAGAAAACAAGCAGCAAATGAATAGAGTGCAAGTCTAAAAGGGACAAGTGTTTTTTTTAAAGAATAGAATTACAATAGAGAGTGCTAGAGTTAGAGGGTCAAATAAAGATGGAAGATACTTGTTTTTAGCCGATTCTTGAAGGCTGCTCGGATTGCGTTGGGCAGGTCCTTCCACCAGGAGGGAACATTTAATTTAAAAGTCCGTAAAAGTTATTTTGTGCTTCTTTGGGATGGCACAATAAAGCGACGTTCACTTGCAGAACGCAAGCTTCTAGAGGGCACATAAGTCTGAAGTTATGAATTTAGGTAAAGGGGTGCGGAGCCAGTGGTGGTTTTGTAGGCAAACATCAATGCCTTGAATTTTATGCGAGCAGCTATTGGTAGCCAGTGCAAATTGATAAACAGAGGTGTGACGTGCATTCTTTTTGGCTCATTAAAAATGTATCTTGCTAGTTCTGGATTAATTGTAAAGGTTTGATAGAACTGGCTGGAAGACCTGCCAAGAGAGCATTGCAATAGTCCAGCCTGGACAGAACAAGAGCTTGAACAAGGAGTTGTGAAGCATGTTCCGAAAGAAAGGGCCTGATCTTCTTGATGTTGAATAAAGCAAATCTGCAGGACCTGTAATATATGAATGTATGTAATATGTAATATATGTTACATGTATGTTAATAATCAGGGTGCACATAAGTTTTTCAGCCGGTTCTCATAAGAGCACCTGGAGATTTGGTTTGGTCCTCACACTTCCCATAGCTTGACCCATTAAATATAACAAAAAAAAAAAAAAAGTAATAATCGCGATAATAATATTATTGCGTTTTATTCATTTAGTTTTTTAAATAATAAACAAAATAATAAAGTGTGATAATACTATCATATTTAAAATAAAAATACAATTATTTTATAGTAAACTTAAAAATAAAATTCTAATATTTACTTTTATATATACTCTATATATGTCATGCCCTTGGACTTTTTTGTGTTTGTTTTCCTCCCCCACGTGCCCCATGTGATCCCCATTACCCAGTTTCTCCTTCATGTTGATTGTTTATTGATTTCAGGTGTTCCTCGTTGTGTCCCTCGTCTTGTCATGTATATAAAGTATGTTCTGACCCTTGTTTCCTGTTTGGTATTGTTCGTCAACCCCTCGTTCTATGTGTGTGCTCCTGCCTGTATTTAGATTAATAAAGAGTGTTACATGTTAATCCCCTTTGTCTCCGTGCTCCTTCGTCTCCTCGTCTCCAACCAGCAGCCGATGGTGACAGAATACCGAACCTATAACGATGACAGTGGCTGAGGATCAATTGTGGCACCTGCGGCAGGGTGGTCGGCCTTTGGAGAGGTATGTGGGGGAATTACTCAAGATCTCCAACTGGGTGAGTTGGCACGACGCCGCACTCGGTGCCTGTTTTCTGCTGGGGCTGGATGAAACCACGATCCACTGCGATCTCCCCACGTGTGATTTTCCCTTGTTCGAGCTGATTAACCTCGTTCTCTATTTAAATGGTTCTGAAGTAGAGGTAGAGGAAGTAATGGACGTTCCTCATCCAGCCCCTCCTGAAAACCACCGGGCCTCGACAGCTCACCCCACGCCGGGATCCTCCACGTGCTCCAATGGCTTCGACCACCCAGATCCTCCCAGCACCATCCCAGTCCTCAGCCTAGAGAAGGTGGCCGCTCCAAAGTCAAGCACGCCGGCCTCTAAGAAGTCAAGCCTGCCGGCTGCTTCATTTTCCCCTAACCAAAGGAGGAGGATGAGGAGAAAAGGACTGTTCTCCGCCCTCATCCTCGCCCCTGAGGCCGCTCCAGTGTTGGCTCCAGCCCCCATGTCTAGCCCAAGGAAGGCTCCAGCCCCCAAGTCAAGCCCAGGGAGGACCGCTGCTCCTATGTCAGGCCCATGGAGGGCCTTAGAAGCTAAAATTTTCCCCAATGATTTTTTTGGGGGGGGGTATAGGAATCCAGCCGTAGAGGCCGGGCCGAGTGCCGGGGCCAGGGCCACGGAGGCCGCACCGCCATGGTCCCCTGAGTTCCCTGCTCCGCCATAGCCCCCCGAACTGCCTAATCCACCATGGCACCCCGAGCTGCCTGATCCGCCATGGGTCCCGGAACGGGTACTGCTCTGGAGGCCTGCCCTCCCAAGTAAGCCTGTCCTGAGGGGCCTCCAGAGCGCCAGGGGGGAGTACTGTCACACCTTTGGACTGTTTTGTGTTTGTTTTCCTCCCCCACGTGCCCCATGTGCTCCCCATTACCCAGTTTCTCCCTCATGTTATTAAATAGGCCTACGAAAATTATTATATTCAGGGGGTTCTCCTACTTTTCATAGTGATATATAGCTTAGCACCAGTTCTACCAGGAAGTGACGATTTTGTTCTCTTTAACTCTTTGGATGGAAACGGTGCTTATTCGCAAATGTTTTATGCGATATTTCAATTTTGTGCATAAGTGTTTCCATGCACATTTTGGTATATCGCATAAAAAATGCTGGATGGAAATGCCAAGATGTGCATAAATTAAAATAAAAAATGTGTGTAAAAAACTTATGCGCTCAACTAAGTAGGTTAAAATTCTTATCCGGTAAGAATACATTCGCATAAACTGATGGAAACACTTTTGCGTGGCGGACGGGCACGCACTGCGGGGGGTGCAAACAGCAGCACAAACATTATTTAGAACATAAGGATTCACACGTCGTCACATCACACACATGCAGCGCTTCTAGGGAGAAAAACAGATTAAAGCAACATATAAAGGAATAAAACATATAGTCCTAAACGAAATTTTTATTTTCGTTTATAATAATATTTATAATATTTACATATTTTCTGATTTTTATGTTCCTCTGTCTGAGAAGGATTTGTCGACTACTTCTGTTTTTTTCTCTCAACATGATTTTGTCTGATATGTGTATAGCAGATTTTTTTTTTTAATTCATGCAGCAAATGTTTTAAAAACAGCTTAAAACATTTACAAATTACTTTATTGCATGATCTTAAGGAACTTTTAACTATAACTTTATTTGGGTAGGCTAGTTTAAATTTAAAACATTGTAATTCGTTGTATTCCCATTTGTAATACAGATGGCAGAAAATAGTTTTAGCGTAGCATGTAGTGTACCTTACGTGATTCCTTATAAAAATCTCCTTTTGCTCAGCTGCGCATGCGATCTTAACAGATGTCTGTGATTGTTGTTTAACGCTGCAAAAACACGCTGTAAAAAGAAATGTAAAAAAAATCTGTTTTAATATAGAACTTTATTCAAGTTATAATACAGGCCGTTATCAGTGTTGGGGAGTAGCTAACTACAAATAGCGACGCTACTAGCGTAACTACATTTTTCAGTAGCTTTACAGTAGCGACGCTACTTTT